TTCTGTTGGCATTTTAGCAAAAGGATTTTTATCAAAAACATAATTAATGTGCACAAATAAAGAATAGTTGTATTAGCCATACATTTAAACAAAGTTTTAATGGGACCTCAGGTGCTTGGGGCCCTAGGCAGCTGCCTAGTATTGCCTAATGGTAAATCCCCCCCTGGTAGTATCTGTAGACCAAAACAAGATGTGTGACAAGTGACGCCTCTCTCTACGTCCACTCCTGCTGCAAGTAATGACTTACTCATAACTTTAGAAGGCTGTTAGCGAGAGAACTTCATTTTTTTTTTTAAATGTGTGTCTTCTTGTAAATGTTTTGATCTGCTGGAAGAGTTCTTCACCATACTGCTCTAAGGCTAAGCTCTGAGTTCCATGGATGCACGTGAAAACACAGCCAATCTAAATCTGACTTGTAAAAAAGACACTGGAGCACACAGTGTGACGTCGTACCAAATTCCAAAATGTTCTCTTTAAGAGCTGCACACAATTTGCAATGCAAGACAAAAATGTATTTTGTTACAGTGATGTTAAAAATGTTGAAACAAACAGTAAAACAGAATTGAAGCAGTATTTTAACTTTATCTTTATATTTCTTGCACATCATAATATGAAATAAGTCTTGTCCACAAATTGTTAAAAAACAGAATAAAAAGACCCTTTAACAACAACTGCAAGATAAGAATAATGGTATTTTTGGTCTTGTAATTTTGGGAGAAAAAAAAGTTCTTCTAGGTGAGTCAAAACATTTAGAGCTAAAGTTAACCGGTCAAACATCAGCACTGCTCCTGTAAACTAAGTCAGATATAGTGGTTAAGCCTCCTCTTTCCCCATATGCCACTAAATGTCCAGGACTTACTGGAGGGTCTATCAGTATCCAGTTAAAGTCTTAGGAACTAAAGAACAGCTAGAATTTCTCTGTGAAATGAAAATTTGAATTAATTCATAGCCAATTTCCTTACATAAAGGTGTGTACTTTACATTTAAGTTCTCTTTTTTATTTCACCACATATGAGTCTTTGGATTCAAAAACAAAATTGAACAGGAGTGTTTCCTGCAGTAAGGGGACAAATAAACTAAGATGCAAATGAGATAGATAACCTGCAGAAGGTCGACTCCCAGGTTCTGCTGATTTGTTGCGTCTTTAATAAGTGAAATGTAATCGATCCCGTTGTTTCTCAGATCCAGCACAACTGTAAACCTTACTGACAGCAGGAAACAATCTTTGTGTCATAGGGAGATTTTTGTCAACCTTGGATGGCTTTGAATTTCCAGACAATAAGTTAAGATATAATCAGACTGATGGACCTGTTGTAACTTCAGCTGTCGAAGTTGAACGGTTCTTCTGTCAGTTTTTGATCACCAAAAGCACCTTATTGATGTAAACTGTGAGGCTGTTCTCCAAAATAATTTCAACACAGTGAGAATGTCTTCTAGGTGTCTCGCTCTACTATTTAAACTTAAGATTCTTTTGTCATGAAATTGATAGAATGACAGTAGTTTAAAACAAAAAGAAAATCATAAATACTGTTTGAATCCTGTGATTTTTGCCAGAAAATAAATCAATACAATAACCCCAATCCCCTTTGTAACAATGTGCACAAAAATTTACAACCAGTCAGATTTGTTCCTTCATCATGACATCGTATAGAAACACATGGCAGCTTGGAAAGCATGGACAGAACCAAAGCTGACATTTCAGACAAATATCCCCAATGAAGGGAACAGACGCTGCATGTGACATCAGAGGTTAGTATCCAGGGCACGCTCAGGAAAGCAGTAAGCTCCTACTGTTTGATATTCTTTGGCACCTCCAATCCGGTCAGTAAGGTCACCTGAAAGAAAAAAAAAAAAACGTTCAGCAGACAAAGCACGGTACAGGCGGATCGATGTGCATCTATTACAGTTCAATCTCAGTTCTTTGCCGGATTTTTCTCCTTTTCTTAAAGATCCAGGTATAAGAAACTGTGAATCTGCTGCAAATTCTGTTTTTGCTGTTGCTAAAATATTTTATCTCTAAATCTGGAGAAAAAGGTCAAATCAGATTCTTTTACCTTAATGCATTTATTGCTGATGTAAAATATGCTTCAAGTAAAGGCTGAAATTTTAGTAAACCAGTTTTTATGCCAAGAAAAATATGAATGAGCATTTTCTTTCTTTATTACATGTTTGTTTGTCTGGAATGTTAAAAATGACTATCGACAGTAAATTAAAATTCCCAAAATTACTTTTAGAACAATGGTCTGATTCTACCTAACCCGGAGTATCCTTTTTCAATCTAAAGTTATTTTCCTGCTCAAATACAAATAGTCTATAAAACCGACTTTTACCCTTTAACAACATTCTCTATTATCAGAGTGACAGATTTTAAAACTAGATACTTTTACAAAAATAAAAGAAAACATATACTTGAATTAAATGTTTATTATTTGGAAAATTAAAGAAAGCAAAAAAATCCATCTGATCAAAAATCATTGTCTGAATAGCTTAATGCTGATGTTTGAATCTTATCCAGGTATTTCCTTAAAAGGAAATACAGAAACAAATGACTTTTCTTTTTTAAAATGACCTTTTTTTGAGTCAAAGTAGAAAACCACAGTTCACAGAAAGAGATGTTGAGCTGCTCTTTAAAGATATCTGCATGTCATGCTAATCTCAACTCTGAAATGAAACTAACAGCTTCTGAACCTGGTGAACTATGAGCATCAGTCTCTTTAGAGAGTACTGATCCAGAAAATGTCCAGAAAATGTTACCGACACCAACCTGGACGTTTCTGTTGAGGCTGACAGCAGGAACAAAAACCCCGTCCAGGTTCTCGAAGGCTGTTGGTCCATGTTGCTCCTTGTTTATATAGAAGGTTAGGGTCCGTTTGGTCAGATCCAGCAGGATGCCCACAGTGGAGCCCTTAGTGATGCCTCCCTCCGCTCTAGAAGTCACAAACACAGAAAACACAACAGGTATCTTTGTTACAATATATTGTTCTTACTTTTTATTAAATAGTTTTAAATATACAGAATATTAATCCCTCCGATTCTGAAACCCAAAGCTGACATAGATTCATCTGTGTAGTTCAGGACCATTTAACTCATTTTTTACCATCCAGGTCAAAGTTCTGTTTAAACATCTATACCATCTAGTGTGCTCTTTATCAGTAGTTTCAACACCCACCCCCACCCCACCCATCCATCCACTTAGTCCTTGTCAAAATCGCGGTGGAGTCAGTGTCTATCTCCAGCAGTCTATGGGTGAGAGGCGGTGTACACCCTGGACAGGACAGCAGTCAATCACAGGGCAACTCAGAGACACATAACCATGCATGCATGCACACACACACACACACACACACACCTAAGGACAATTTAGAGAAGCCATTAACCTAACAGTCATGTTTTTGGACTGTGGGAGGAAGCCGGAGTACCAGGAGAGAACCCACGCAAGCAGAGGGAAAACATGCAAACTCCATGCAGAAATACCCCCGGCCGGGAGTCAAACCCGGAACCTACTTGCTGCAAAGCAACAGCGCTACCCACTGCACCACCATGCTGCCTGTAGTTTAAACTAAATATTTTAAAATCTAATTACCGGTATGTAAATTATGTAAATCGAATCTGATGTTTTATATCTAAAGAATTATAACATAGGCTGTAGGTTTTAAAAAAACATCATAACCCTAACCGATCGGATGAACACCAAGAGATTGAGCATCAGGTATGTGGTGATGATGTGATTGGGTCAGTTAAATGAATTAAATATAATGGTTTCTTTCCAGTGCCGTTTTCATGTTCCCTGCAGTTGCAGTCATTTGCCAGCATGCCCTGCTTCTGCTGTAGGCCTACTGCGGGACTGTAACGTTCCTGGCACTGGAGCTGATAATTGCAATCAATGCACCTGTTCTCACTCCTCCCCTCCTGCTTAAAAGCTCCGTCCCTCCAGCCTCCAGTGCCAGAACGTCTCTAGCCTCTTGGTGAGAACTTCCAGCCTATTCTTTATGTGCCTCTGCCTGTCTGAACCTCGACTTGTTTTTGCCCCTGTTTTTTGAGCCTGTCTGTCCCCTTTCTGGATTTTTGTCAGCCCGCCTGAGCCCTGCTCGTCAGCCTCAGAGATCTGGACTGTCAACCCATGTTTCTGACCCAGCCTGCCTGAGAGTTACTGAGATTGCCTGCCCCTTTGAACCGTCTTTGCTTCTGTGGATATTGAACTGGATCTGGACTCGGAACTTCCCCTGGATTCTCCCTTGGATACCTCTGCTGGATTTACGGACTCCCCCCTCGTCAAGACCCGGACTGAACCTTGGATTTTCCCAGCACGGACTCCCTCCTCTCCTGTAACCAGACTGAGCTCAACCGAGTCTTCCTGTGGCCAGGTTAGTGACCAAGTTCCTTACTCTAACATCTGCCTGCCTCCACTGGTCACTAACCACCACTCTGTCTTTAGGAGCTGCCTATCGCTGAACCTGACCGCTCTTCCCGGGAGTCCGTGCCGCCCTCTCACTTAAATAAAGACTGTAAAAGCTTCACTGACCTGTTTGCGGGTTGTCTTTGGGTCCATCCATTTCCACTACAGTAATCCATTAAAGGGACATAAAACTGATAACATATCTTGTTCTGCTCTAAAGTGATCAGCATTAATAGTCAGATGTCAGTTTGTTTGAGTTGCATTTGCTTCGTCAGATCTAGCTTTAGAAACAAGACTGACCTGCAGAAAAATCTTAGACAAAAAAAAAAAAAATGGCTCAGAAAAATCTGAGGCAACCTGACAGCTTTGAAGGAAAAAACATCAAAGTAACATAGAGCATGCAATACTGATGAAATGTAGCCTATTATTTTATTGGACTTTAAAACCACTCAGCTTTTAAGGATGCACCCTGGTTTTAATGAGGAATGGACTGGGTGTCAAAGTTGGAAAAGCCTTTTCTAAATGACTATAACTGGTACTTAGGGACCAAAACTCAGGAAATCTCTTTGCTAAAAGGATGAGTTATTCACAATGCTTATGTAAAAAGCCTTTATGCTCTTAAAAATATGGCCTCAGCTGCTTTAGGCACCAGAGGATGAATTAACCTTGCTTGTCCAGTCAGCCATATAACAGACACACAGCTAGAAGTAGCTGTAACAGCTGTTCATTACAAATACACACAGGTAATAGGAAAAAAATATGTATTTTTTTCTTTTAAAATAAAAGAAAAGTAAAAATATATCATACCATCACAGAAATGCAAACTACAAAAAAGAGGCTATTAAAAAAAATGTTTTCTAGCAAAATATATAAAAACAGACCCCCTCTAGTGATGTGAGGAACTGATTTCCAGCAATCTCATACACTCGCTGCCAGATTTCACTGCCAAAGGTTACATAAGTTATTAGGTTTTGGAGGCATTACCTTTAAACACATAAAGGCCAGCTTGGTTTGTTGTTTTTTTGAAAAAAAAAAAAAATCATAATAATAATAATAATAATAATCATGTGATATTTTTTTTTGCCTTTACTGAAGATATTTTCCCTTATTTTAAAATCAGAAAAGGTGGCAAAAACAATGGAGATCTGTAAAGTAGAAAATATTTTTTTCACAAAAACTGGGAAAAGCACATCCAAATAAAAAGCTTCACTGAGAACGAGGAGGTGTCTTGACAGTGAACTCCTACCTGTTGGTGTGGGAGTTGTTGTGCATGAACCAGGAGCGGTTGTTGTCCACATACATGGCCCAGGCCTTGTCGTCCTTCCCCAGCATCATTTCTTTCATGGTGTTGATCCTCGCCACGCCGAACGCAGGGTCCGGGTGGTTGTCATACCGGTCAATGCTGACTTCCCAATAGTGAGTTCCCTGAAAATTAAAGAGAGAATTGTGGAAAATGTACATTATAACAGAACTATGAAAGAACATGTAATTTAAAATAATCCTAACCTTGGAGAACGCAGCCGTCCCCAGGACCACCCGGTCATCGTAGCTGCTGCACGTTGCTGTCTGGTTCTCATTAGACAAGACGATGTCCCGGTGAGCTGAGGAGGGGTCAAAGGTGAACCAAGCCACTGTAACGAGAACACTACATTTAGTCAGAGACAGTCATCCATTTAGGGCCGGGGTCTTCAACATTTTCAAGGCCAAGGACCTCCAAACTGATGGAGAGATGGAGCTGGAACCTCTGATTATATATTGTATAAAATTGTGTTATATCAAATTGGTCCTATAGTAACTCTATTACATATGGAGTAATGTAACGAAAGTAATTTCTCCCTAGGATTATTAAAGTATTTCTGATTCTGATTCCTGGTTGATGGGACAGGTGTTGTGAATGAAATGGTGCCCAGCTTGAAAGAGCTCATGTGTGTCGCTGAATGTGAGCATTGATGACTGAAAGACATCTTCTACCTTCATTTATCTGTTTACTACAATGTGTTTAATTCATGTTAATGTGAATTTAAAGACAGTTCAATTAGTGGAAAAAATCAACAAAAAAACAAAACGCAGTACCTCTGTGGACCCCCTAGGGGTCATGGACCCCCTGTAAAAGTAATGATAACTATAAGGGGTGTTTAGACACTTAACTTATCTGAAAAAATATGGGTTAAACTCCACAAAACCCCAAATAGGACAGAACTTGCTTTGGCAACAGAAATGCAAAACAAACTATGGAATTACAACATGAACTTATATATATATATATATATATATATAAACTCAATTCCAATGTTACACCTATCCTAATGTTTCCAAATCTATTTTCAGCTTTCGTTTGTCTTTACATAAAAATATTTATGATTTCAATGATTAAAAGAATATAATTTTTTGAATAAAGTAACAAATAGTTATAAAGCAGCACATTAATACAAACACCAAAAGGAAAAAAGTCTTTAAAAAAGAAAAAAAAATCAGTTAAAATCCTATTTGCCAGGTTTTTTTTCTTCATCGTGACTATAATTATATGTTCTATCTGATTTTTAAAGCACATTTTCGTTCCAATATCGACAAACTGGCTGGATGGGATATGATTTTTTTTTTCAAATTAGAGTGTTTAGAGTCCCATTAAATAATCAGTAACTTTTTCCCCAGTTTTTTTAAAACTCTTTTAAAATTGGAAAATACAGGAGAACATGTAAGCAGATGTGAGTTGATCCTCATATGTAAGGAAATTGTTATCTAGTTAAACAAAGATTCAGAGGCAGAGGAATAATACATTTAAAAAAGCTGAAAATATGACAAAGCTAGACTTAGCTTTAACTGATGTCAACTCAGGAGGAGGATATAAAGTGTCTGCATCATTTTTTGAAAGCTTTCTGTACAAATAGTTAAGAATTGCAAAATTATTCACATTCCTGTCATTTAGATTTGGGTTTAATTAATCAGTTTACTCACCTTGTATTAATGATTTGAAATATTTAGAAATCTAATACAAAAACTGTGGCGGGAGCTAAAGAATCGAGTGATGGCAAAGAGGTATTTCAACCTCAAAGAGTTTAAGCTTATCAACTATCAAAACAAAATGAAAATATTAATGGAAATATGTATAAACCTGTTCAGCACTGGGGTTGATCCAGTACAGATATTTCCCATTATTCATAAAGAGGATTAAAAATAACTTCAAACATTTTTATAAAAATGCAAGTTGTTTTTTTTTTGTAATGGTAGGCCTACTCCCATTATATTGATCTATTGTCTTTTGCGAGATGCCATCCTTATCCAGTAAAAGTTATATACCGGTAAACTAATTTTAAAAATTACATTTATTAAGTCTTTCTAAATAATAAAGCTTCTCCTCTCTTGTCTCCTTGCACTGTTTTAACACTAACTTTGTACTTTTTATTGTCCTTTAAACAGTAAAAAAAAAAAAAAGAAACTTCTAAAAAGCAGCTTTTGGTATCAATACAGCAGTAGTGGCACCCTAAAACCTGACTAAGGATGATTTTCCCACCCAACACAAAACCACCTCAGTCAGATGTGCAGAAATAAACGATTCATTCTCGTACCATCAGAAGTCTTGAGCACGACCGTCTTGCTGTACGGTCCCACTCCGATGGCGTTGTAGGCTTTCACCCTGGCGTTGTAGGAGCTGTTAAAATGCAGCCCATCCACTGTGCAGACTGTCTCCTTCCCAACATACACCTCCTGAGGTACATCATGTTTCAGCATCATTACAAATGCAGTTTCCATTAAGGCAAGTACAGTTTGATTGAAGAGGTTAGGAAATGTTGGTTTACTTCCACTGTCTTTAATCACTTGTCTTTTTTATAGAACACATCAGCTAATGAATTATTACCGTAATAACAAAGACCTACAAGGGAAAGTATGACATGACTTGCTGCAGTTTTTTAAAATAATAGTTAAATTAGAAAGGGGAAACTGGCTGAAGTGATCACCTGTCTGTGACATTAACCCAGTTTTTACTCTATATAAACATATCTTAAATGCACGTTTGCTGACAAGCATTAAATGATATGTAAAGTAAGCAGTGCAAATTGATTTTCTAATCACATTCATCTTGTTTTGCACCATGAGAGAAAATAAAAACTACAACAGGGTTTTTATTCACTCAAACGCTGAATTTTAACTACCCTCTCCCATGATAACAGTGTATTACAGTCATCAGTTTAAGCTGCAAATATATGACTGAGAACATTGGGAATTTAGAAATGCATTTTTATTCAGTTGATCCTTAGTTAAAAGAAAACTGTTCCTCTAAAAACCTTTTAGAAATCTTCTAGTTGGTTCATCAAATATAATATAGTTACTCTTAAAAATATTGTTGCACCGACACCGATACCAGTATCGGGCAGGGGCCCCGATCCAGCACTAAAATGGTGGTATCGGTATCAGCAAGTACCAACAAATAGAGCACCGATACCATTTTGAGAGCCAAAAGTTTATTCAACTATAGTCACTGATTCCAGGTAAGCAATAAAAATTTCTACTGGATTCACTTTGTATTAGTCTTTTTCCTGCTTCCCAAAGGTAGGCAGCAACAAAGCTATGATGGCAATTTTTTTACATCCAAGTAGTATGCAGTTCTTTATATATACACACACACATCGATTTCAAACAGAGGGTATTGGTATAGTATCGGTATCAGCCAATAATGTACAGCCAGGTATCGAGTATCGGTATCGGGGCCAAAATATTGCATCTGCGCAACACTACTTAAAAACCATTGTAGCATGGGCTAAATGAGTCACAAAAGAAACAACTTAGTTAATAAATAAACAAAACTTCTGAAAATGTTGAGGTAGTTGGCTAAAACTGAGTAGAAGAGCCATTAAAATGCAAAGGAAACCACTTTTACTATCTATATCCTCTTAGCTTTAAGTTTATGCTTATCTGAAAGTGACCCACAGGCAAAGAAGAATATAGACAACACACAGCTACAAACTGTTTACAGAAGTAATCATGAATGAGGCTGTCACTATAAGCTTTAAAAATAAAACACAAAAAAAAACCAAAGAGCTAAAGCAACAAAATCTCTTTAAACATCCAACCATCCATTGTCTTACAAGCTTGATCCCGAGTGGGGTCGCGAGGGGTGCTGGTTCCTATCTCCAGCTGTCTATGGGCGAGAGGCGGGGTACACCCTGGACAGGTCGCCAGTCCATCGCAGGGCAACACAGAGACAAAAGGCACAAACAACCATTCACTCACACACTCACACCTAAAGACAATTTAGAGAAGCCAATTAACCTAACAGTCATGTTTTTGGACTGTGGGAGGAAACCGGAGTACCCGGAGAGAACCCACGCATGCTCAGGGAGAACATGCAAACTCTCTCTGTAAACATTTTGTTTTATTCTATTGTGTGTCTTTTTTTCTTTTCTTGTTTGGCTTTATTTCAATTACCTTAAGTGCTATTATGTTGTACTTTTGAGTAAAAAAGTGCAGAAAATAAAACATCAATATATTAACTCTTTGCCCTCTCCTTTAACCTTAGGATGTGCGATAACTTACCCTGTATTGTCCTCCATTCCCATCATCCAGCTCCAAAATGTAGCCCTCGATGGGGCAACCTGCAGGTGCATTTACCCTCCAGGCCAGGGTGGCGCTGTTGTTCCTTGTGCAGCACTTCTCAAGCTGTAGTAAGGGAGCCGCTGGGACCCCGGGTCCAGATTCCACTGAGGGAAGTAATGAGTGAATGAAGTGTTAATTGAGAAATAAAGCTGAATGAGGGATGTTTGAACAGGCTGAGGGAACCTACTGGGAGCGGAAATAGACTTACAGAGTTAAGGCAAACCAGATTCACTTGGAGGATAACTGGTAATCACTGGAGGTTTAAACTAGGCCACGTAAGAACATTTAACACTGGGGGGCAGTGCAAGTCGAGAACCAGGTTAGACTGATATAAGCTCTGACTTCAAAAGCAGTAATCATTGGATCAGGATGGTGAGTCTGTAGGAGACATGAACTTCCTAAGTCAAAATATTATTACAAAGTCTTATTTATATCTGATATGTTGGTGTTTAATCAGGAAGAGGAGAGCATAAATAAATTGTGTCACATCAGGATCTACGAGAGAAAGTATATCAGTCTAACCATGAACTCAACAGGAGAAAAACACAGTAATAAAACTGCTTTTTTTAGGATTATTTTTGGGATATTCGACTGTTTTGCAGACACGAGGGAAAGGCAGCAGTCATGACAGAAGGGGAAACATAACAGGATTGTTAGTCAGTATAATCTAAAAGCCTTTTTAGGTTTTATTTTTTCAGCTCGCCGCAGGATGTTCTCCTTCAATTCATTCTGTTCCTTTCCCCATGCTCAATATTTATTTCATAAAAGACTCCTACTGAGCTACAGTCTAGATTTCAGCACCATGGCTACATAAGACATCTTATATAACCCTGAATCTTTGTGACTGAATATTACCAGTGAGGTTTTATCATAAAGAAGTTAATCATTTTATTCCTCAAATCTAATTCTCAAAACCATTTTCTACATTTGATTTATTCATAAATTGCTCCTCATGTCACATTACGACCAATAACATGTTAATGTGTAAGAAAACATTTTATCTAGAGTGCGAACTACGTTTGTAGGCACTCACAATAATGGTGTGCATAAAAAAACTTTCAGGAGGAAAATCTCACATAAAAAAATACAGTCTGTAATTTGAACATAATTGCTTAAGAAGGAAAAACAAAATATTAGTAGCTAGGTAATTAGATTTAGATCTTAAAAGAGTAATGTTATGTATTTTTAACCATTTCTGCAATGATGTGTCAGAATGTTTCTCTTTTTTTAGGGATGCACGATATAATCTGCCCCCTATCGGTATCGGCCTGTATCGGCCTTAAAACTGAATATCG